AACCCGGAACGCAGCAGCCGGCATTCCCGAACCTGGAAGGCTGAAAAACAAGTTGAGGCGACGCCACCTGGCATCGGCCAAAATCTGCTCCTGAGATCCCTGACCTGACCGTTTCTGACAGTTTTTTCTCCCCTCTAGAACGACAGGAGGTCAAGCGTGTACATACAGACAGGTCAGAATTCCCCAGGGGGTTTAACCCGTGCCATGACGACACGTCTTTCCAAGTGCTCCTGTCCTCTTTCTGTACCGGGATTTCCTTGCGCAGGGGAGCGCTCCTGGGGATGTGTGAACGCCGCTCGGTGTGTTTGGCCAGTTGGCGACTGGAGCAGCACTGCGCCCCGGGAGCCGCGAGTTCCAAGGACAAGTCCTGCGGGAGCGGCTCAGCCATTACCGGGAAGGTCGGAGGTGTGACAGGGAGGGGTGTTTGCTGATAAATCCATCCGGAGCACAGAACCAGGAGGCACACTTTGAAGATAGCTGAAGAAGTACACAGTCCAACTTTGGAGACCCGACTTTGTTTTTTAAACTTGGAGCTATAGTTACACGTGTCAGTGATTTAACAGCGGGATTGTTCTTTTGATAAGCAGCACACGAAACTGAGGAACCCATTTCACCTTTCTCTGTCTACCCGGCAGACTCCATGGAAAGGCAGAAATGCCTTTCAAGTCCTGACTCCGGCTGAAAAGCACAGTCGCTCATCGCGCAGCTAAGCTTGCCGCGCGTTATCTCTGTAGGCTTCATTTCCTTTTGACAGATACGCAGCACGGACAGGGTAAAGGTTCATAAAACAGACCTATTTAGTGAAAACTTTGAACTGCACAAAACTGTTTCTACTTTCCACAAAGGTCTCATGTCTTTTATCAGAAGCTCCTCCCAAACGTCAAATGCATTTATCAATTGCGTTTATCAATTCAAATGCATTTATCAATTCAGACCTATTGCTGGGATTGCATCTTAATCACGGTAAGGTAAAAATTAATCTGTGTTGGAATGCCAGTTTTATCGTTTCTTTACATACTGCTGAAACAGCATTTTCTAACGTATCATCTACACGAGCGGCAAGAGATGTACCCTGTTTTGGCTACAAATCTGCTGCTGCAGGAGGCAGCATGATAAAGTGGCTTGCATCTTCTAAGTTAATGCCAAGTAAGTGGAATCCACTCCCCAGTTAGCTAATCTGATGTTTGAACTTGTGCAATTTGAAACCCTCATGAAAGAAAGAAGCAAACGAGAGCCATTCAAATCTCAAAAGAGTATGAGTTTTGTATTTAGCTCTGTAGCTGAAGAATTCAGGCAACATATTTTAAAAGTACTAAGCAGTTTGTTTGCAATTGTGTTAAGAAGCATATAGCTCCAAGGTATGTTGAGTTTATGCTCAGGTGATAGGTACTTGTAGGATCAGAGTCCTGTGTGCTCTTTGCCACTTTTCCTTTTTACTAACTACGGAAGCAAACCATAATTTCTAATCCTATGAAGTATTATAAAGCGACTTGTTTAGTTACAGTCACAGTGGTAGTTGTCTTCATAGCTTCTACCTGCCCTCACAATCTCCCCACATACTGATAGGATAAATTTAAAAACTGTACGGTAGTAAGCAGGAACAAGTTTTTCAGCTCCACAAGCCAATAACCTTTGCCCTTCAAGGGCTGGGTGTCTGCTTGGTATCTACTCCATTGCTCAAAAATTGTATCTGCCACCTTGTTTTTGTCTGTGGACAGTCCCCAATATTTTAAAGAGAAAAGTCAAAACCAATCAATCCAAAAGAAAATCCAAACTCTGAGATCAATTAAACATTAAGTTAGAAACTCCTCATTATTTAATGTAAACAACCAGATGTACATCCTGAAACATGATATTTTATTTTCCACTTCACTGTAATTTAACAACAATGTTCAGTGGTCAGGATCAGAAGAAGATCATGCACTTAAAAAATCTTAAAACTATCTAAACAGGCTGCAGGAGAGAATTACAGATTTTGAGCAGTGTGTGCCTATTTACTCTTGACAGAGGTTGTGGTTTTTTTAAAGGTGGGTAATAATTGCTACTGTATCCTTGATAAAATCCTTTTTAATATAACTTATTCCCTAGTTTTAGCTCCATCCAATTCTATTTTCTAAAATCTCACAGCATATTAAAAGATGAGATAACCAGTGTGGAGTACAGATGAGAGTCAGTGCACAATTTATGTATTTTCCTTATTTCATTTTTCAACTATTATCAGATTCCTCTTCATGTCTTTCACATCGCTTTCTGCACACTGAGAACATATCAGGTTATATAAAAAGTTTCCTTTCACTAATGTTTTTTGTTCAACTTTTCTTTCTGTGATAAATTTTATTAGCCTTCAGTTCTGTCAAGTTCATTCAGTGTTTTGCACAATCTCTCATAATTTTGTTACAGCACTTGTCGCTGTAAAATTTTGCTGATTTTATGAATAAATCATTAAGACACTAAAAAACCTTACTTGCAAGCTGAGTGCTGGACCATCTCATTAATAAAAACCTGCTGTTCTCTGTGACTCAGCTTGCTGTTCTTTAACCACTTTTTAAATCAAGACAAGCCTTTGCTTATTATTTCAGGGTTATTTAATATTTTAAGACTTGAAAATTTTTTGTCAATCCCTAATAAATAGAGCCTGCTATTTTATTATGTTGTGAAAGTGTTTGTTGTAAAACGTTAGACGTTTATGTCTGTCTTTCAGAAGCTGCTTTTGCTTCAACTTCAGCGATGGCTTATTCAGCTGAAATCATCACTAGGAAGTCCGCTCATCAGAAAACTTCAGTCACAAAGCACCCTCTGAGCTTGCTTTGTGTATCTGAATCATGCTGCCCCCACGACCTTACCACCTGCATATTCCTGACGACTGCCCCGCTGTCCTGCTATAGATGAGCCTCTCGCTCAGTGAGCACTCCCTGAAACTCTCCAAGTCATGAAAACGTACGTCTACGTTCGTATTTACCTGTCTCTGCTAGTGAGTCTTTTTAGGGATTTATAGCATAAAGGTGTCACTTCTCTGAGTTTATACCTGAGTTCTTAACCTCAGTCTATATGCAACCAGAGGGCTTAATACAGTGGCGTACACTGCAGTACATACATCATGGCTCAAAGAAGCGTATATGGCTATAGCTTATTCCCGCAGGGGGAGGCAAATGACTTATAAAAACTACTTAACAATGAAGAAATGTAACCACAGTGGACACTGTGATGATGTGTATATATGTGGTTATGTTGTTTTTTTAAAGAAAGCTTCCTTTTTTTCTTAGTCATCCATCTAAGTGAAAGGATGGTCTCTTACCTCATCTTAGATACAGAAAAGATGTGCAGCTCTAGCAGAGAAAAGCTAACTTACGCGAACACTACCGAGCTAACACTGTGCCTTTATAAAGACTGAAATCAAGGTCTGAGAGCGCTACACAACTTCATCACCTGCACCTTCACATACCTTCTGCTAGTTTTTCACTAGCTACTGTTTATTAAACCTTTTGCCCGTCCCAGGTTCATTAATTTTAACTGTCAACAATCCAGTTCCCTTTCTAGTAACCCCTCCCGTTTGATTTTTCTCTTTTTTTTGCTTTTTAATATTCTGTAAAAGACCGCCTAGCTCCAAGTGGATATGAGCAATTTCATTTTTCATTTTACGTTCAGACTTCTCAGTCTTCCTCTAGCTGCTCCTCCAGGGGATAAGGTTTGGCTTTTTTCTGAAACCGCTGGAGTCTATCACCTGATACCCTGTATCGCATTACGACACTATTTAATTCCCGGAACCCATTCTCTGCGTTTACCAGAATCTCTTTCGAAAATGCAATATTGTTCTTTTGTGAAGTAGCTGTTACAATACTAGATTAATCGAATTAAGTACTGTCAACCCACAGTACTGTCAGAGTTTTGGCCACTCCGTGACCTGATGCCTCACGGCGCAGCAGGTCGGCTTACCCCTGCAGTTTCTGGAGCTGGACTGGAGGACAGGTTGTGCGTGGCTCCTCCATCCAACACACGTGCACCTCCTAGAGACACCCTACGTGCAGCTCAGCACCCTTTGACTTCCTTCAGATGTCAAGCAACGAACGCACAGCACCATGCTCGGTCGTGCCACTGCGCGAAGCAAAGTGACAACGCCGAGGGACAGGAGACGGCATTCAGCAACAGCCGGGGCGCTGGTGCTCCAGCACAGCCACACTTCACTGGCTCCTGTTCATGTCAGTAATGTGGCAAAACTGGCCCGACCCTTGCGCTTACAGCTCCTGTGAAGCAGAGGTCGGACTCACTGACTTCCCGAGTGCTGTTCGCATGTACTTCTCTAAGCTTCCTTGCTGCGGTATACTCTTATTTGTTTCGCATCCCCAGCTGGCCAGCTGCATTTAACACATTGTAGCCCCTCTACAACAGAAGGATCACTCTACCGACAATAAACCCTCTTAAAACAATCCTTCTAAAAACACTTTCTGTCTGACAACCACTGCTTGGCTCCCTCCGCTGTGTTTTGGAAGGTGGGGAAGAAGGCAAGCCAGCTATTTGTTTAATGTCTCTGAGCCAGAGGAGGAGAGAAGTTTGCCAAGCTTTATTATGGTGAGTGGCAAGTAAGAACTGAGCCTCCAGCTGGTGGGTTTTTTTCGTCTTCCTTGGAGATAAGGTGGAGGAATAGAAATAAGTGGATCCTGCATGTTCAATTTAATGACACTAATTGTATCAGCCATTTCAGAAAATTAGCAGTCACTTAGTGGTAATGTTGTTTGACATTTCGGTGTGATCTCTAGGTTTGCGTGGGCCAGATTCCTCCAACTCTCATTTAGCTGAGCATTACAGGGACGGGTGGTCCCACCAAGTTTACTCCTCCCACAGCGGGGAGCTGCTGGAGGGATGTCTGTGTGGGATCTACCCCAGAAATGGTGGGTGAATCCCTCAGGAGGGGAAGCTTGGCTCACGTTTTGGGTGTGAAGTACTCTGCGTGTTGGTGCTGCCAAGTGAACAGAGCTCTCTCCTCCTTTCGCACATCAAGGACCACTGTACCCTTCAGCAACAGTGTGCACATTTTTAAAACACAATAAACATCCAGAAACGCAGGCCAGACCCAAACTTCACTCATCACAAATTAATTTTGGAACTGAACTTTAAAGTGCCTTTTGCTGTCAGTAAGATTTTTGCTATGTGGATTCCAGTTGAACAGTGGAAAAATTATTGAGAACTTTTGGTGTTTTTAGCCAATCAAAGGAGCCCAGGACTCGGGATAAGCGTGTTTCTTTTTGTGTAAATTTAAGTCAACACAACTTTCTCTCACCATGCACGTATGCTAACAGCCTTTAAGTTATTGTAACTGTTTGCAGCACCAGCTAAATAAGAGACTGTCCCACAGCACAGACTAGGAAGAAAAAAGACTCAGCGGTGATGGAAAAGAAGAAGGGTTGCACAACGTTACTCACCACCAGAGGAATGGAGCAGATGACCACCACCAGGGAAGTGGCAATGAGCAGAATAACCATCTGGATCTCTGCTCCGGCCATCCGACGGAAGCTCCGGCGTCTGCGAAAGTCAGATAAACGGCTGGAGGTGGTGTCTGTCCCCAAGGATGTGCGTCGCATGAACTGGCGATGCATGCGAATGAGGGCCACACACACCAGGATGTTGCAGATCACGGTGACCATGATCAGGAAGGAGCTGAAGCCGGCGTACATGTAGGAATATGCTGCATGGGTAGCCTCTTTTGCTCGCCAGTCTATGAAACACCAGGTGTAAGGGTACTGCAAGGTAGATTTGCCGAGCCCCATGCTGGGGAGGGCGCAGAACAGCACGTTGGAAGCATAGATGGCAAAGAGCGTGAGCCCTGCCAGCTTCTTGTCTACATAATGGTTGTAGAAATAGGCATGGTTGATGGCCAGGTACCTCTCTATAGACATGGCACAGATAATGCTCAGGCCAGAGAGTCCAAAGAAAAGGAGGATGAAGGAGCTGTACTCACACAGCGCTGCTCCTCCTGGCCAGCGGTTCTGCAGGTAAGTGGCAATAGTGACCGGACTGACCAGGCAGGTCCCCAAGAGGTCGGTGACCGCCAGCCCGCAGACCAGTGTGTAGAAAGTGGTCTCCTTCTGCTCCTTCCGGGACTTGCAGAGCACCACGATGGCTATGAGGTTGCCCACCACACCGAAGATGAACATGATGGTGGGGATGGTGGGGGGCTTCCCGCCCTCGGCCCCGCTGGCGGTCCCGTTGGCGGAGCCATTTGCAGGTGGCATGATGGTGGGGTCGAAGGACATGATGCCCACGATGCTGCTGGGGAGTCAAGCGAAGGTGAGAGCGAGTCCAAAAAGTACGGGCAGAGTAAGGGAGGGGAGGGAGTAGTATAGCGTGAAAATAAAAATTCAAAAGGAAAAAAAAAAAGCGGTGTGTTTTAGTTAAAAAAAAGAAAAAACCAAAAAACTCCTAAAAAGC